TATCATTCATCCATCCACCCACCCATCCATCCATCCAGCTAGCCAGGCAGCCAGCCAGCCAGCCACCCAACCATCCATCCATCTACACATCCATCCATCCATCCAGCCAGCCAGCCAGCCAGCCAGCCAGCCAGCCATCCAACCAGCCAGCCAACATTTTCTGTTGTCTATATAACAGGAGAAGTACAGGGTACCTGGAGTGTGAGTGAGTGTGTGTGTGTGTGTGTGTGTGTGTGTGTGTGGTTTCCCCACCTTGGAAATATATGGGTACTCCCCTTGGGATTCAATGGGTCTGGTTAGTATCTGAATTGATATGTGAAAATGGGCCTATTTTCCCCAGCATTTTATGGTGAACGTTTTCACACACAAAAAGTTGAAAAACAACAAAATACACGGTAGATCGTATCCAACTGTCCATGAAGATTAGATAATTGACTGCTCACCTCTCATTGTGTGAAAATCACATGAAATTCATTAAAAGCCTTCAGCCACTTCCTCCCCCAATCCCATAGGCTAACCACGATGTCACAGCTGCACATGTCCCACTGCTCATCTTTGTCTTAATAGCCTTTCAAAAGGCACCTTCTGGAGAATTGGCTCAGGGTTGCAGTACTCCCCGCTGCCCCCTGGGGAGGCTTCTGACCTTTACCTGCGTTATCACCTAGCAAATGCAGCCCTAACAAAGAGCAGGGACCAGCTCAGAGTCTGCTCATTGCGGGCCTCTGTGAGGCCATGCTGGCCAATTAGCCCCCAAGAGCAGCCCCGGCCCAGCGTGATAAGTGCACTCACTGCACTCTCTGATGGGTTTTAAACCCGCCGTGCTGGGCTCTGTGCGGGGGAGGTCTGATCCGTTTTCCATTACTAGCTTTGGTTGGTCTCTAAGTTTAGATCCTTGACGTGCCATTCAAGGTTCTTTGTGACCCGGTTCTGTCTCTTCTCTTTCGTCTCAGCTCCTGCCTGCCATGTGCACTTTCGTGTCCTAGGACAACACTTTGAGAAACACGACACAGGTGACATTTCATTCCTCTGGTTTTGAAAGTGCCAGGCCCATTCTGACTCTGTGCCTTCACATATGCTGTTCCTCCTGCCTGGAATGCCCCTCCTCCTTCCTCTTGGCTGGCGAGCCATCATTCTTCCTGTAAGACCTGGCCTCCTCTGCTATCTCAGCCAGGAAGGCTTCCAGAGGTACTCGCTCCATTCCCTCACTTCTACCTCCCACTTGCACCCACCTTTGGCACAGGCTTGGGGTTTCTGGGGTGCGCTGGGTAGAATCCTGGGTTTCCGGTGCCCCAGGAAAACTCTCCTCCTTGGGGGGTCCTTGGTGATTCATCATCAGAATGTGTCTCCCCAGGAATGGAGTTGTGGTGGCTGGGATCCAGAATGTTATTTCCCTCCTCACTCCTCCCATGCAGCACAAAGAACATGGGGGCTTGGGGGGGTCGAGGGTTGCCCCACCAGCACAGACGAAGCCCAGAGGCAAACCCAGGTCTGTCTCGTGCCTCAACTTCCCTCTCACTAGTCTTCACAGACAAAATCCCAGAAGAAATGCCACTGGTGGTAGATTCTGTTTGCTAACTAGAAGGGTGAGGCCTTCTGGAAAAGCCACTAGTCTAGGGGCTCGGGCCTCCTCCCTTTCAAATCTTATCAAA